CCACTTTTGACTTTTCAAAATTGAGTCGTAAACATAGAAAACTTAAATAACGAAATGAAATTTTTTTCTTATAAGAAACAAAATAAAAAAAAGGAAAAAAGGAAAAGAAAAAAGGAAAAAAGGTTTTTTTCTTTTTTTCTTTTCTTTTTTCCTTTTGCCAACCTTTTTTCTCTCTTTCGAAACAAAATTCTAAATCATGTTTTATGTTTTTTTCCCTTCCTCCTCTTTTTTAAACGAATATAAGAATTACGTTCTTTCCCTTCTACCCTCCCTTCCCCCTTCCCAGTAATTTAATTAAAACTTTTGATTTCTAGAAAAGAAAAAAAAATACGAAAGGTTATCTGGGTGGCAAAAGAAAAAGAAAAAAAATCCAAAAGTCATAAATCAAAAAAAAAAAAAAAAAAAAAAAAAAAAACAGCAACAAATCGGTCAAAAATATATATAATGATTAACACGGACAGAAATAAAAAATATTCACAACAAACAAACAAACAAACAAACGAGCAAGCAAGCAAGCATTTTAGTCGCATCTCCTAGTTCATCTTGCGCATCATAAAAAAAAAAAAAAAAACCCGCACACAACGAGACTCGAATTTTACACAAACACACACACGTGTATGCAAACATAAACAAAGACATGTTGTGGGGGGGGCGGGGACGAGGGAGACGATGGGGGGGTCCTTGAAGGTTGTTTTTACGATCTTTTTAAAAAAAAAAAATTTCCTAGATTTTAATATGGTATTAAATTAAAACCAGATTTAATTTTTTCCCCTCTCACCCTTCCCTCCCATTAAAAACAAACCAAATTTTGGAGAAAAAAAAATTCTTTCATTTTAAACAATCTCTCATTAGCTCCTTCTCTACTAATAAAATTTGTGAGAAATATTTTTTCAAAACAAACAAACAACAAACATTTTAATTTCCTTTTTTTTTTATATTCCGCCGAATCGAATTGCATTTTTTTTTTTTTTTTACATCGACAAACGTAAATCGTTTTCGAAATCGTTTGTTCGTCGATATTTGTTTGTTTTTAACGAACGTATTAAATTTCTACTTTTAAAAAATAATAATAATAATAATAATAATTGCACAACGAGTACATTTCGTGTGTGGTATCACCAAAGTAAAAAGAATTCGGAGCAAAATGTGCGTGACGATGATCGTGTATGTTTACTTACATACGTCAATACAACATGCATACAAACACATTTTGCTTTTCTTATCATTGACAATTTAAAATTGTTTATTGATAACGCGAGAAAAACAAAACAAGACGATAAGACCGAATTCTATTTGCGGTATTCGCGTCGGAATTGCGGTTAGACTCAGTCTGTACGGCAAGAAGATTCTAGAAATTTCCATTTAGACGTTACATACGATATATATCATAATAAAAAACAAACGAATTTAAACGAATATTATTATTAAAAAATAAATACAATGTAGAAGAATAAAAATTTTTTTTTTGAAATGTGGGCAGAAAGTCAAAAGTTCGCAGACGAAAAAAAAATTTTTTTTTTTTTTTTGACCTATTGAACGCGATGTAACGTTTTTCTTTCTCACCGTAGTATATCTTGTGATTGACGACGTGACAAGTAATTGTTTGTCTGTGTGTGTGTGGGAGGGGAGGGAGGAAAGGGGGATCATGATATGAAACCAAAATGAAAAGGGTTATTTTTAAATTTACAACAACAACAAAAAACAAAACTACCAACAAACAACGTTTCGATTGTTTTCCTATTACAATCACCACCACCACCACCATCATCATCACCGTCACGACGTAATCACTCAATTATTTCCAAATAAAGGCCTTTTAAAATTTTTAATTCTTGTTTTTCTCTCTCTCTTTTTTTTGTTTTCTTAACAAGTTTTTTTTTTTCTCGAAAAAAAAAAAACATATTTAAAAAATTTACGTGAGAAATACTAATAATAATAATAGTAATAAAAATAATCTGCTGGAAAATTCGTAAACGACTCATTCTAAAAGTTAAAGTTTAAAAATTTTTTTTTTCTTTTTTTTTTCCAAGTGAATAAAATTTAATTGTTTAATTATGACTTTAGGCAGTGATCATCATCATCACCATCATCATCATCCTAATCATCATCATCATCATCATTTTTTCTTTTCTTCTTTTTTTACGATTAAAAAAAAAAAGGTAATTTTACATGTTTTCACACACACACACGTCACATTTCAATAAGTCTTAAATAATCGTTTGTTCGTTATCCTGCACAATTATTACTTCCATTTCATTCCATTCTTTTCTTTTTTTTTGAAAATTTTATCGAAAATACACGAACGAAATCGAAAAAAAAAAAGAAAGAAAGAAAAAGAGAAAGAAATAAGGTGGGATTGAATGGGGCGGAAGACCATTTAAAAAAAACTTTCCCAGGCTCAATAGAAAAATCGTGTAGGCAACGTGAGGGTGGCTCGTTGTTCCCGTGAGACAAGTTCGGACCTCTGGGAACGCAAACCGTTCCGCATTGTGAATGAACCGATGAAGCACGTGACCAATTCACCTGTACCTCATACTATCAATGTTATAATTTATTTTCATTTATTTATTATAATTTAACGAGTGAATTTATTTATTTCATTATCATTATTATTATTATTATTCTCCCTCTTTTTTTATCCCGATCGCGAACAATGTTTGGGAAACTTTTTGAAACTTTTGTTTTTCATAAAATTCTCTACCACTCTACTCCCTCTTTTTTTCGTTCAAAGAATTCATTGTATTCATTTGAATTTTTTATTTTTTAGGGGAAGCTAGACGAAAAAAAAAAAAAAGTTTGAAATTGTTCTATAAATAATAATAATAATAATAAAAGAATGGCAATGTGAATCAAAAGAGGAATGCAATAAAAAAAAGGGCGGCACTTTTGAACAGGCAACCAGTTAGTTATTACAGTTAGAATAATAATAATAGAGCGACGTTCATACGGGTGTCTGCCGCCACGTGTCAATCACGTGATACGTAATAATAATCATTCTGTGATTTTATTTCTCATTCTCGGTCGAAAAAAAAAAAAAAACATGTTTTTCTCGTTGAACTCGCACAAAATAAAAAAAAAAAAGTGAAAGAAAAACGTTTGCTCGTATTTTTTACTAAACAACATTACAATCGAAATAAAATACAAAAAACTTAAAAAAAAACTAATCGTAGTTTATAATAATAATAATCATTATTATTACTATTATTATTATTATTATTATTTAAGTTAAATTTTCGTCGTGAGTTATATTCTCTTCTTCATTATTACAAAATATATATACGGAAAAAAAAAATTAAATCTAGACGTAAAAAAAAATATGGGCTAATATTTTTGACTCGAGGGCATACCGTGGGAAATTAAGCCTAAAGCGTGATAATAATTAATGACCTTTGACCCCGATGAGCCGGCCTTGAATAGCGTTACTCAAAAACCAAGAAATAACTAACAGCCATTGATTAGTTTATAAGAAGAACAAATGTAAACTCGTGAGAAACTCCGCTTTTTCTACCTGTATTTTTAAGTTTTTCGGGTTTTCTTTTTCTTAATTTTTTTGCGTTTTCACATTTTCCACGATCCATCCACACCATGTAACACATTCAAACACATTTAAAAAAATTTTTCTCGAACGCGAAAAAAAAAAAAAATGGAAAACGCGAGAAAGTACGTCAAACAAACTTTTCGTCTTAACAAATTTCAAAGAAATTTCATCGGGGATTGATCGATCGAGTTCGATCCCTCCACCCAATCGCAAAAGAAAAACTGTTACAAAAAAAAAAAATTAATAATAATAATGAATACGATACAAGGAAATCGATAGTTAAGAGAGAGAGAGAGAGAGAGAGAGAGAAATGAATTCACGAAAAAAGTCTCAATTTGTCAGATGTTAAACCCGAGTCACGATTTTAAAAATCACGTTGCCTTATAGACGAAGGCTCCCTCCCCCTCCTCCTCCTCTCGAACACGTCGTACCTGCCCCCGACTGTCGGATATACAGAAATAAAACAAAAAAAAAAAAATTTAATGAACAGTTAGAACCGATTAAAGAAAGATCCGTAGTTTTGTTTTTTTTTTTTTTATGAATCGTAAAATATCCGTTTTATGTATAAAAAAAAAAAAAAAAACATTTCCCATGAAATTTTTCTCTCTGATTTTATTAATCATTTATTTAAAAAGTAAATAAAAACTTTTCACTGGTTCTTTAAAAAAAAAAAACTGGTCATTTTCCTTTCTTTTTTTTTTAAAATCAATAATCGATAAAAAAAAAATTCAAGTAGCGTGGGAAAAACAAAAACTCGACGACAATTTATACGTAAAATACGGGAGCCGGGTAAAAACAACAACAAAATAATTAATTTTGATAACGCTCGAAATAATCTTTTTCCGGTTTGTGACGTAAACAATATTCGATTTTCGATTCGAAAAGAAAAGGGAGACCGTTACGGTATTTTAAACGAGATCATCGCTCTCCTTTGAGCCAACGCAAAAAAAAAGATTCGGTGACAAAAAAAAGGGGGTCACGCAAAATTCTAAGAAAAAAAAAATTGTTCAGAACGTTTTTTAATGAACGCCATTGCAATTGCGATTGTTTCCGGTTTAGCAAATTATACGTTCGTCAACTGGTGGTACCAACTCACGCTCTCAATAATTTCATTTCGAAAAAACCTTTTCGCAAATCAATTTTAACGAATAAGCGTTTATTATTATTATCATTATTTCTGTATGTTTTAAAAACTACTTTCTCTTAAACAACTTACAAACTTCATCCCCCCTCCCCTTTCCTCGGAAAGCAAAACAAACGTTTTTAATTATTCTCACATAAACGTTTACAAAAATTAAAAAATGCCTCGGGGATTTCAAACACACACAAAAACAAACCCCCTTCCCTCCCCAACGTTGTTTCTTCTTCGTCACCATGCGAACATTTTCAGGCACATGCAAACAAACAAACAAACAATTAAACGCACGCAAACGCGAGAAAAAAAAAACGGATTTTAATTTACCTGATTTTTTGCTAATTGAAACCAAGTTTTCAGTATCACCGGCAACCGCCACTTGTGATAATTTCTAGTGGTTTTCACGCTGATGAATATGTCATCGAGTGAAGTGTTTGTCAAATACAAATTTGATGACGTTCCTCCCTGGGGTTCGGATTTGATGCCAGGCGAACGCGTCGTCGTCGTCACCGTCACCGCCGACGCCGACGCCGCCGCGGCAGCGACAGCCGCAGCCCCCGTTTCCCGTACGACTACTATTTCGTTTTCCAAATCTTTTTTGACTAGCACGCTGTCGTTAAACGACTCGATTGCATTTGAATCATAATCACCCGGTATGGATCTAGGACCTCTTTCCTGCCATCTCACGTCCACCGTTCTGGATGCCTGAAAAAATACAATGAAAATATATCTATCTGTCTATCTATCATCACCATTATTATTATTATTATTTCCAGTCGAAAAACCAAAAAAAAAAAAAAAATTATTTTCACACGATTTCACCGTCGCGTTCTTTCTCTCTCTCTCTTTTTTTTTTAACCTAACTCTTTCGATTTGCGGGATTATTTAAACATTTAATTCAAATTATTTCATTTTAAATTGTACGTAGAACGTCGAAAGAATAAATAAAAAGCAGTGTGGGGAAGAGGAAGGGAAGGGAAGTAAAGGGGGGGGGAAGGGGGGGAAAATAAAAGTAAGGGACGAACAATCGAAACAAAAAAAAAAAAAAAACAATAGGATTTTGATTATTATTATCATTTTTATTTTGCGGTTGATCTCCGTTCGCAGATATCCATAATAAATTTTATTTTTCCCCGGTTTAAATTCATTTAATTCCGATTTTTCATTTCAACCCCCGAGTTTAGGATTTTTTTTTTTTTTTTGAAAATTAAAAAAAAAAAAAAAAAAAAAAAATGATTCAATTTCGAAAATTATAAAAAAAACCACAAAATGTTTTCCCTTTTTTTTTTTTTTTTGAAAAGGGGGAAGGGGAAAATTCATTTTTATGATTTGATTTCTTACGAAAAACCCCAAAATCATACAAAACAGGTGGAAATCGAGAAATGGAAAAATAACCTTTCTCACGATTCCTCCCTCTTTCCTTTGATTCCATTATCGAACATCATTTAAATAAATTGACCACCGGTCAATTTATATCAAAACGCGCCTAATAATAATAATAATAATAATAATCAAACTAATTTATCACGATGACAAAATGTTAAAATTTCAAATTTGTAAAAGCGTTATCATTATTTTGTACGGAGATGATAACAAAAAAAAATTACGAGAAAGGAAAATTCAAATTATATTTTTTTTTTTTTTTTTTACCGAGATAAAAAATAAATCTTGTTAAAAAAACTAACCGTAATGGGAGCGCACGTTACGAACCCCCCAAAAAAAAAAAAGTAAAAAAAAATTAATGACATTTTTAACCGGGATTCTTCCCCCTCCCTCCCCCTGTATAACAATTTACGTTCACAAAATAAAAAAAGTAAAAAAAAAAAAAAACAATTTTTTTTTTTTTAAACCGAAAAGGTCCGAAAACGGAAAATCATAAAAAAAAAAAAAACCTGATAGGAAAAATTTAAAAGAAAATTTATCACGTGGGCGTTTCCCCCTCTCCCCCCCCTCTCTCTCTCTCTCTCTCTCTCTATTATAATCAAAATGTTTATAAAAAAAAAAAAAGTTTCCGTTGAAATTTTCTTTTGTTTACAAAATTAAAAACTCGCAATTATCGAACTTCATACGTAAAAATAAAAAATAAAACAGTTTTTTTTTGGCGGGAAAAAAAATCAAAACGCCAACATTTAAAAAATTAAATTAATCCAAACACTTAATTTATATCTAACGGCAAATAAATTTTCGGACGGAAAAAAAAACCCAAAACCGAAAAAAAAAGAGAAAAAAAATCCGAAAACACACAAACACAAAACAAAACCGCCGAATCCTCCATTCAACCTTTTCCCGTCCCCCCCTCAAAAGTCCCACATATATATATTTTTTTTTTCTCATACAAATAATGGTAAAAGTTTTTTTTTCCGGGGTAAGGGGAGGAGATGGAAAAGGGAAATCGAGCAAAAAAGAAATGCAAAGGAAATTTTTTTTTTTTTTTATTTCATTCATTTTTTACCAGGTGACAAAAAAAAGGGGGAAAAAAAGAGGAAAAAAATGAAGAAAATTTTTTGTTCTTTTGCACGAAATGGATGAAAAAAAAAAAGAGAGAGAGAGATAGGGAAAAAAAAAGAAAGAAAAACTTTGTTGTTGTTGTTGTTGTCAAAATCTAATAGATAATTCAACAGCAATTTGTCAACTTGTCGACCTGTAAACGCTTTTGAAATTTAAAAGAAAGTGAATTTAATTAACGGTAATTAATTTTTATTAGTCCTTTTTTTTTTATTTAATAAAATTCAACGTCACAAAAGTGTTTTGTTTATTTTCTGGTTCGAGGAGGGGAGGGGGTAATAGGGGGTGGGTTAAAACAAAAAAACAACAATTAAATAATTTCAGTTCATTTTTTTTTCCCCCTCAATAAGAATAAATAATTTTTTAATTTAAATAATGAACTGATATATTTTTTTTCATATATTGGCAACTCTGCCGTCCGTCACGTATTGTTTTCTTTCTCTCTCTCTCTCTCTCTTTTTTTTTTCAAACATTAAATTTAAACATTCGCACCAACAAACATTCGATCAAAATTCTAAAAGGAAAAAAAAAATTTTTTTTTGGTAATTTTCAAGGTAAATTTAATTTGCAAAGAAAATAACGCAAAGTTAAAATTAATTAATTATCTTTACCTTTGAGAAACCTTTGAAAACGTCTCTCTCTCTCTCTCTCTCTCTTTCTTTCCAGAAAATTTAACTTTGGATAATTATCGATAACAACAACAACGGACACAAAAAAAAAGAAAGAAAGCAAAAAAAAAAAATCACCCGACGAAAAGAAAAAAAAGAAAAATTATTTTTATCTTTTTTTCCAGTCTCTTAATTAACCTTTATTATTATTATTATTATTATTATTATTATTATTATTATTATTATTATTATTATTATTATTATTATCATCCACATTTCAAATTGACTTCCTTTTCCGGAAAGGATTTTCCATTTGTTTAACGGTTATCTTTCTATATGGTAGGTCGTGATTAGACGAAATCATTATTCGATCGACGAACTAAGTTAATAACAAAAAAAAAAGAAAACCCTTTTTAATTGCATTCGAACGAGCTTCTCATTGTGAGAAAGAAAAGAGGAAGAGAAAGAGATAGAGAGAGAGAGAGACAGAGAAAGGAACAGAGAAAGACATAAATTTGAATAAATAATTCACACAAACGACAAATTAAAAGGTTCCGTGGGATTTTCAAAATCTGTCATTTATTTAATATTTAATTAATTTTTTTTTCACCTAAAAAGATTTCGCGCGCTTTTTTTTTTTTCAAAATTTCAACAAAGTCTAATGATGATAATGATGATGATGATGTTTATAATCATTAAACCAAATTATTATTATTATTATTAATTTTTTTTTCAAAATGAAAAAATTCCAATAATTTTTTAAGTAATTTCAAACGAACGAATTTTATGACCTTTTCCAATTCGAAAAAAAAAAAAAAAACCCTCGAATCGAAATCATCATCATCATCATCATCATTATTATCGTTTTGTCGTCTTTTACACTTTCCTTATAGGCATCACGCTGGTCATTGATTAGTTTTTAAACTACAAATTGAAAAAAAAAAAAAAAAAAGAAAAAAAACGCCATCATTTTTTTTTCTCCTCTTTCTTTTTCTTCTTTTTCTCTTTCTTTCTTTCTTACAATAACCATAATAATAATAATTTTTACCTTAATCTATAATGAGTTTTTAGAAACCCCGTAAAGATCTATTCGGCCACCCGTTGGGAATGAAAACCATCATCATCATCATCATCATCACTTTCCATTCCGAACAACTCACAACATCAACAAATAACAAAAAAAATTATTTTTTCAAAATGCCAAATATTATTTTGCAATTAATATACTACACGTGTCTCGTCGTAAAAAAAAACTTTCGATTCGAAAAAAAAAATCGATAAATCGATCGATCAATCATCTAACGCACTCCCAATCTCTTCAACTCACTCTTCGTCGTCGTTTTTACTTTTATCTTTTTTTTTTTTTTTTTATATTAATTCGTTTGAAGTTTTCTTTTTGAAATCTTTTATGAACAAAATCATTGACCGACCTTTTTTTCCTTTTTTCATTTTTTCCTTTCTTTTTCGTGTCACATACAATTCATACTCATTAATTAAATGTAAATGAAATTATACCGGTAAGAATAAAATTAAAACTTTTCGCTTTTTTAAATTTACATTTTCAACATTTTTTCCCCCTCCCCCTCCCATTTTTTTTTTTTAAAAAAAGGAAAGAAAGAAAGAAAAAATAAACGTGTTAATTAGTTGTCTCTCTTTTTTTTTTTTTTAAAGATTTTGCGCTTTCAAAAAATAAATTTCTTTTTTTTTTTTTTCGCTTCTTTCCAAAAACGGGAAAAAAAAATTTTATTCAACTATATATATAAACGCGTCTTTTCTTCTTCTTCTTCTTCTTTGTTTAAACAATTATTTTTTTTGTTTAAACAAAAAAGGCAAAAGAAATTAGAAATTTAGAGAGAGAGGGGGGGGGAAAGAAAATTAACACTTAGTAATCCCTCGTAATAAATTTTTAAAAAAAAATTTTTTAATTTAATCCATTTTTTTTTTTTATTTGCAATTTCCCAACGTAAATTTTTTGTTTTTTTTTTTCGGGGGTGAGGGGAGGGGGAACAAAAATAAAAATTTACATTAAATAAAAATAAAATAAATAAATAAATTTTACTTCTTATTTTTGCAAACCAAGTTCGAAAGAAGACGCATTTTTATGTGTGTGTGTAGAAACCTAAAAAAATTTTATGCAAATTCGACCATTTTTTTTTTTTTACGTATTGAAATATTTTCTTCCTTTTTTTATTCTTTTCCTTTCCTACTAATAAAATCCATTTTTTACGGCTGGAAAAACTCGTGAGGGCAGGTTTCTAAAATTAGTTCCTGAGCTCCGATTAAAGTTCTCGTTATTATCACATTCACGCACGCACAGGTACACTAGCGCTCGCGCACGCACACACGCACACACACGAGCTCTGGCGCGAGCCTAACCTCGCGATCGACCCTCGCGAATGTTACATTCAAAAAAATCTAACATCATTTATTATTATTATTATTATTATTATTTCGACTTGTTTCCGTTTACTATTTTTTTTTTTTACAAAATTTCTTTTCGTTAGCTAACCTTTCGAAAGTGAAAATAATGGCGGATGATTTAAACAAAAAAAAACTTCAAAACGTTTCGTAAAAAAGATGATACTAAAACGCCACGTTTGGTTAATTTTCCCCCTTCCCCTTCACTTCCTGTAGGAAAAAAG